GCGGGGAGATAAGGGGAAGGTAATCCTCACCATCAATGAGGGACGGAAGGTCCTCAACCAACTGAGCAATCCTCAAACTCGACGATTATCATCATTTTAATTAAATACTAGTAATTGTCTAAAGACCCTTGTCTTACAATGAAATGTAAAATTGACACAACATAAATATTGAACAATTAAAAATCAATTGCTTTACAATATACTTGGACAAGGTTATTCCAATACAAGTGACAATACCTAAAAAAAAAAAAACCTTTGTGAAGCTTGATCTTTACAGTTTCTTATAGGTAATACCTAGAAAGGGTCAAAGGTTTATGCTTTCTCCTTTTTGCCAATGAACCTTCTTAATATAACTACCTAGGCCCTCCTTACTTTCTTTTTCCTTCAATGCTTTTTTTCTTTTCAAGATTAGCTATAAACACATGACAAACATAGGGCAAGTGTAAAAATAGAAGTGATGAAATTGTATACAAATACAATGGGACCTTCTAAGCTCGTAATCAGAAGAAGAGAAAACAAATAGCAAAGAAAAATAATTCATCCCTAAACATTCAATCATCACTAAGACCATGGTAGTTATTCACTCCAAAATAAGCGAAGATCCTACATCAAAACCATCAAGGTTTCTTGTTAAAACTTGACAAGATCAATAGCACTGGAGGCATTTAAGTAAAATAATTCTACAATCAAAATCATAAAAAGAGTATTGGCACACAAAAGCGTGGAGTGACTTCAATTTTCATCTACCTAAATTTTGGTTGGCAAAGTTACCCATTGCCAATAAAATCCGGTAAAGGTACCTACCAAAATAATCGAGGTGTACACCAATAGCACTTGTGGTGAAAAAGAAAAGAATGATGAGAAAAAGAAGATAAATTCACAGAAAAGCGTGGAGTGACTTCTATTATCATGTGCCTAAATCTTGATTGACAGAGTTACGAGTGTCACTAGGAGGTCAATTAGGTGGAGGTGGATACCAATAGCAATTGTGTGTTGAAAAAATAAAAATAATGATTAAAGCTAATTACCAGAATGGTGTTGATGAAGAGAAGAGGAAGGTTGATCTCTTTGATGATTTTCCATGCACTGCATGAGAAACTTGAAGGTCTCAATCTCACAAGGTATAGTGAGTCCACCAGTATGATCAAACCCAAACTCTTCCTCAACTTTTTCCAACAACAATTTAAACAATGGATCACTAAGATAACTTGTGGGAATTATAAACCTCCGAAGCTCCGATCCAACATAAACAGCCAAATAGCCTCTAGGGACACCATGAGGTGGCTCTGGACTTTGACAACTCTCCTCATCTGAATCACAATATATATTGTAATTCCTCAACCTCATACTAATCGAAGGTGATATTCCTCTAGGGGAATTGCTACCGTGTTTCAACGATGATCCAACATGATTATTATTATTATTATCGTTGTTGTTGCAATTATTACCATTTCCCTTGGGGCCAAGTGTGACATGTTGCCATTTACTTAGAAATTCTTTTAGTCTTACAATCTGCTTAATGCCTGTCACCTTGCTTCCTCCATGTTCATCCATTTTCCTTTGCTTGCTACGACACGATTGATGATGAGATGAGAATCCAGCTGACATTGATTTTAAGCCCTTAGGCTCTTGGAATATTTCACTCATTTGATCTTGTTTTTTAGCTGCACAACAATGCCATGACTTAAATTTTAATTTTCGATTGAACTTTGAAATTAAATAAAGGTATGACAGATATGAGAGATAATAATTACGTCTCAAGTTCAATATTCATTTAACTATCTAAATCTCGATATGAGAGAATTATTTTGTTTTAAACATTGTTTTTCAACAATGATTTTCTTAATATATTTGTTTAGGTTCATGTAAAAAGAATGAGGGATTAATATGAATTTTTAGATTGATTTCTTAGAAATTATATAAAAACATTGTAAATCATAATCCGTTATAAGTCAAAATGTTTGAAAATTCATGGTAACGATACAAGTCATTGAAGAATAAACTTAATTCGAATTACAAATTTTAAATTCCAAAACAATAGAAAATAAACGTATATTCATCTTTTTGAATTACCAGAACAGGGTGAACAAAATTATTTACCGTTCTGATGGAAAATATGAACGGAAGAATGAGGAGACGGAGATTTCAGCAATTGGTGCAATTAAGAAGCGTCATTGTATGACTCATGAAGAAATTAAAATATCAACCAGCCCCAGATGAGGAGGATGGAAGAGTTAGGCTATAATTCTTTAAGTTTTTCAGAATTCTATAAATGGAGTAATGATTTTGAATACAAAATGGTATTAGTAAGTAACAACTTCTATGACTATTTGTCACCCTTTTTTGTCGCAGCAATTTTCTCTTTAACCAATTGGTATTACCATTATTTTATGTGAACATTAGGTGCTAGTAATTTATATTTTTTTATATATAATTACTCTATTTATTTTGAATATTTGGCTAGCCATCTTCTATATTATCATTATTTTATTTTTATTTTACCCTTATTTAGAAGGAACAGTTGGAGAGGACTAACACAGCATAAGAAAGTTGTACCAAAAGCTAAGTTAAATTGTACTACTTTGGAGAGGACTAACATAGAATAAGAAAGTTGTACCAAAAGCAAGTTAAATTGTACTACTTTATCTTTTCATAAAGTACATGTACTTCTAACCACGTGTACTTCTTTTTCTTTGCAAGAGAATACGTGTACTAAAGTAGTACTGCACATTACTCTCTCCCTCTCAAAGCAGGTGAAAGAGTATTAGAAATTTCTCTCTGTTCACATCCAAATTTATGTTCTCTTTTGATTTTGGTGTGATGTTTGCTATTAATTCTTCTCTTCTGAGGGATTGTTGGCTGAATTTTTGAAGGTATTTCTTTGTTTATATATTTTTATTGGTGGGTATACCTTAGTTCCGTTCTTGTGAATATGAATTATTGCTAGGGCTCTTCGTTGTCTTTGGCCTGTATTTCAGGTATCTTGTCCCTACATAATCCAGTATTTCTGAAGAGGGATTATTTTAGAGATATCTTTTCTACTTCTAAAGAAATTGAAAAGATATTGTTGGCTGTATTTTGCTATTTTGAGAGATTCAATACTTATCTTTCGTGTGAACTTTGTGGGTTATTCTTAGATGAATTCAATTTGACTGGTTTTGCGCTCAAAGTCTATTTGAACGCCACTTGACTGTCAGGAGAGGTGGGTAAGTTGATTCAACTGATACCGATTTTGGCATTAAATACATATTTGTAATTTCTAGGCATTTTGTATTACAATTTCGAATAGCAGTATGGTATTGAAGAGAAAATGAAACTATGTGAAGAGGTGTGTTGGATTGACGTATGGTGAAAAATGGTAAGCTGCTGACCAGGATGCTAGATCAAAACTCATTATATCTATAAACATTCATATGTGATTGTAAAAGAAATTAGACATTGATGTGGGTAGATATTGATGTTTGGCTTCCCCTCCTTTTGTTAATCAATATATCGTAGTCGTGCATATCAGATAGAAGAAGTCAAAGTTGGTGGTGTGTGGAATGCGAAGGACCAGTTTCTAAACATCCTGCAACAAAACTAGGATGAGCTGAATTGTTTGGATAAGAATTGTATATTCTAGGATGCTCGCCTAATGTGTCAAATAGTGCTAGAGAAGAAACTTTTAAGGCGAGGTAAGTTTTTATACATAAATGAGAGCAATAAACATATTTCTAGATTTTTCTCACTTATGCGTAGCAACAAATTTTTGACATGTTCGAAACTACCTTATTCTATATTTTCAGTAAATTAGTTTTACTAATTGGCGACTTCTTATGTTAATATTCTTCCACGTTCATCCAACATGCTTAGTATTATTTAACTACATGATTTCAATAATTATTTGTAGTTTGTATATCTACGTATTTTTGGGTCTGGCATTCGTTGAAGAACTTTTCTTTCGCATTGTGAAATGTTTGTATATAAATGACCTCCTTATAGGATTATTAAATTGAGAAGGCCTTGCCATTTTTATGTTTAGGCGAACTTGAATCATGAAGTTACTCCCCTGCCTTAAAGGTTGTTTACAGTGAACAGAATACTAACAATTGAATGTATTGATAATTGATAAAGCATCGATTATGACAGAACAAAGGAGGATTGAAACCTAGGAAGAAGAGATGTATTTTCAAGTTGGATTAATTATTGAAAAACTACTTAAATTCTATAATTACGTTGCATTTCTGATTTCATTAGGTGATTTAAGTTTAGTTTTGTACAATTTCACAAAAGGATTTTTGTTATTGGTAAACTCATCTTCTTATACTATCTAATATTTTCTACTTCCTACTTCAGTCTATTAGCAAAGGTCTTTATCTTTTTTTGGGGTAAGTTTCTCAGTTCTTTGGCACTTCTTTTACTAATATTAAGGCAAGCGGTGAACTCATGGGTCTAGGCATGGCAATTGTCGTCCAAATGAGTGCCAGTATGCTGGAAATATAATATGTTATATTGATAGTGAACAACTTCATGCAGAAGTTAACAATAGAGGTATGTCATATAATGTTTTCCACATTTTCACCAGTGTGAGTAGGCAATGTATTTTCCTCATGAATGTGACTCAAGGTTACTCTATCCATTGTTGTCACACTCTTCTAGATTTTGGTATCTAATTATTTGACTTTCAAATGTACAACGAGAGTAGCCGATGTGTTTTCTAGCTAACATGCTTTCTTTTGTCGAGGCTAGGAACATGGCATGACTGATTATGAAGGTTTTTGGTTGATTCTGGATGAATATATCTGTGGGTAAACTTATTTATTTGGTTATGTTATCTATATGCCCTCTGCCATTTTTTTTTTTGTTAGGAAACTCTCTCATTCAATTTGTCAAAATAAGTTATCGAGGAATTTAACAAAGTAATAAACATGTTGAAGAAGATGATAGCCACATTAAAATTGGTGAGTTGTAGTCATTGTCATGCCTTATCTTTAGACCTCCGACTTCAACTAAAAGTGTAACTTATATTTTTAAATAACTACATGCTGACAACTTAATGAAAATGACCTAGCTATCAAACAGTCAAGATTAATTAGCAACTGTGCCTTTCATTTAATCTGTCATATGGTATAAATGAATGTGAAAAAAATATTACTTCTCTAGATGTTTTAGTTTTTTTTATAATTGTCTTGAAAGTAATTACTAATAATAGTACCTCCCGTCAGGCATGAACCTTGAGGTAAACCTGGGTTAAGCTTTCAATCAGTATATGATCGCCATGACCATTAAGCTTTCAGCTGGTACTCGACACATTATTTAGCTTTGTTTAGAGTTCGACACCTATGGACATATGAATAGAACTTTAGGTTTTTTTTTTTTGCCAAGTTCAAATTAGCTGTGAACCAGTCACGTAAATTTGACATTGCCTGCAATTTGGTCAGTCAGATATTTGGTTGTTGCTAACCTACCCGATATCCAAGATATTGTGCACATTATAGATAAATAAAAAGGTAATTGATTATCCTACTATTCAATTTTTTGAGAAAGGTAACTTGTATTATAAACAAAAGAATACATAAGGAGTATTCTAGTAATACTTACATCCAAAAGTTGCAAAAAGCAAAGAACTCCTATGGAGGTCATAACAACTCTAAAATACTAGGAATATCCTCTGCATCTTGAGGATATTCATGTTTACACCAAAAAAAGATAAGGACCAGGCAATTCAGCTTCAAATTTTGCATAGAGCAGCTCTTGTTTTTAAAACATCTCTGGTTCCTCTCCATCCATATAGACCACCAAATGCAGGCATGGACAATCTTCCATCTCTCCCTGTGTCCTGACTGATTCCCATCTCTGATTCCCATCTCTGTTCCAACAAGCTAGAGCTTCTTTGATGTTCCTTGGCATAGTCCAACTGATGCCCCTTAAGTTGATGAAAATCTGCCACAACTTCGCAGTCTCTCTACAATGTAGAAAGAGATGATTTATTGTCTCGACCTCACATTCACAAAACCAACACCTAGAACAGATTTGCATGCCTCTTTTCATGAGGTTGTGTTGAGTGAGTGCAGCCTGATTGGCTAACAACCAAGTGAAACATGCTATCTTGAATGGTATCTTGACTTTCCAAATCATCTTCCAAGGCCATCCACCTATATGAGTACCAGGTTTTTGTGAGCTTCTATAAGCCGAGCCAACTGAAAATCTGCCTTGCTCATCTGAATTCCAAAATAGATTGTCCTCATTTGTGTTTAGATCTTGCATTGCCCTAGAATGTTGAGTAGCTCAACTATTTTATTGACCTCCCAATCATTTAGATGTCTTCTAAACCTGAGATCCCACCCCTGATTATCTCTCATTTCACTGATTGTAGCATCTTTTGAAGGCTCGGGTTGAACAAAATAGGGAACCTATTTCTCAAAGTCAACTGATCCACCCATTTGTCTTCCCAGAACAAAGTCTTCCCAAAACAAAGTCCTTCCACCATTCCCTACCTTGATTTTGCATTTGTTAAAGAATTTGATCCACAAATTTCTGATGGATCTCCATACTCCAGATCCATAGGGTTGTGTGGACAAGTTGGTGATCCACAAATTCTCCATTCCAAACCTAGCCTTTATTGTTTCCTTCCAGAGAGCTTGTTTTTTTTTTTTTTTGAAATAGGGAGCTTGTTCTTGTGAGGCAAATCTCCATAACCACTTCATAAGTAAGCTTTGATTCTGGATTTTCAGATTCCTAATCCCCA